AGGCGGCCCTGCTGCGGAGGAAGAGCGTCAACACCACCGAGTGCGTCCCGGTGCCCAGCTCCGAGCACGTCGCCGAGATTGTCGGCCGCCAGGGTGAGTGCCGGGAGGTGGAGGTCCGCCGGGCACGGCCCTGGGCGTGGGTGGGAGGACGAGAAATGATCTTGAGGCACCTCGAGCGAACCCAGCAAGTCCCCCAAGTCCATCGAAAAGGGGTCTGGGAGGAGCCGAGGATGAACGTGGAGAGGGGATGAGTCACCTTGCGGAAGCCCACGCTTTCTGCTCGTCCTGTGTGATAAAAAGTGTTAAGTTCTTGGGCCACCCAATCCGACGGTGTTCACTTTACTCGGGCTGCATTCTTTCAGCCCCAGCCTGGCGTGGCACCAGAAACCTCAGCGAGGTGGTAAAAGGTCGGGTCAGAGGAGTTGTGGGTTCGCTGTCGTGTACAGAAAAGGAGGCTGCAAGTTTGCGCAGTCGAGTGTCTTGCGCTCGGCTTCCCGTGGAACAGCTTATTCGGATGAGAAGTGGGCAGAAATGGAGGGTTGTAGAAAGCGCTTTTTCCAGAGAGAAGGGGATGTTCAAGTGTTGGTACCACCACCCCACTCCGATATACAGAAACTTAGATTTTTGAGGAGCAGCCTAACTCTGCTACTGTTTCCCCTCTGTGGATACTTTATTCTTGAAAGGCATATTGGTTATCATCTCTTAGGACACTGTAGTGTGTACGATGAAGAAAAAATTGGACGATAAGGGAAAGAACTTTATGTTTTTATGCAATTTTCAGTAAATTCTCTTTTTCATTTGCCAGCACACCAGTACTGCAGACAGACTCCTCCCACACTGTTCAGACAAAGGACCTATGTCTCAGATTCCAGGAGTAGATTTGTGAAGGTGGGGGAAGGAGATGCCCAGAGAGTACCTCTTTATCCTACATTTTTAGGGAAGGTTTCTGGTTTTTGTTTTTTTAAATGTAGCTCATTCCTTCTTTACAAAAAGGGTAAATATTCGCTGCTGCTGTGTTCAGTATGGTTTAGCCCAGTGGATGCATGCTGCTTTACTGTTAGGTTGAGAGCATTGTTGGGGTCAAATAAAGAGGGATAATGGCGCTGCTGCCTAAATGATCTCATCTTTCCCAAGTGGTCTGAAGTACACATAAATAAGAGGCTTGTGGAAGTGGTGATTTTACATGTCAGAGGTGGCTTACTTCTTATCTCTAGGATTTTAATAAGAAAAAAATCATGAAATTTAGATAGAAGCCATAACCTATTTCAGACTGCCTGATTAATCAGTTTCACATGCTTTATTTGGCTGTTTTATATGCTTTGGGATAATAATTCAGGAGAGAACTTTTTCACCTACAAGATAAAAATTATAACATTCCAATTTATAGAGCTAAATGCATGATCATTCGTTTAAGAACATGTGTCAGACTTGTATTTTTTGAGGTACTGAGTTTATGGTGATCTGAGAATGTATAATTGATTCAGAAAAACTTTCTGCCATTTTTTTTTTTAGAAACCAGCAGTCCGATAAACAGTAGAATGGCACTAATGTGAAATTGATGGTACTAACTATAGTGTGATAAGAAGTGACACCCAGGAGAACAATCGAGAGCCTCAGAGAATGGGTAGGGGTATAACAATGGAGGCTGAAACTGGAGAAAAACAGGAACTGTATGGAGAAAGGTGTGGCGAGATGGGCAAGTCACATTGAGTTTTGTTCATACTAAAGATCTAGTGATGAGGGTAGTGGAAAAGAGCAGGGAAGGCAATTGTTGAGGCCAGAAGACAAACCCTGGATGCCACTTCTTGGGCACAGATTGCTTCTGTGTGCTTATGATGATAGATAGTCTAGGAATACCAAAAGAAAGGAACATTTACATGCTTAGTTTCAATACAGGACAAAATAGTATATTTTGTAGGTTTAGTTTAAGGCAAACTTTTGTTTTCATTGTATCATTCCTATTAAGTACTGTATTGTGGTCCTTAATTGTGTGTACTAATTGTTATCTTTATACAAATCTAAAAATAAACTGAATTCCAAGTTTTTATTTGTACCATCTATTGCATGGTAATAAATGAGATAAGGTCTTGGTTTTTCTTTTTAGGATTTGTGCTTATTGGTGAATCTATTTATGTCTGAGAACATGGAGACAAAATGCTGACTTTTCCTTTTGCACTTAATATTTTCCAGAGTTGACAGTACTGTTAAAAGTATTTCATCTTCCTCTATCTTATCTTAAGAGCAGAATGTCTTGACCTTTCCTTGTTTTGAACTGTTCAACTAGTGGATCATTGATAGACCCCTTTGCCACCCCGCACCCTAGCAATGTGGTAATAAAACCTGTAAAGTATTTGTTCACTCCTATGGAGAACTAAGTGACTTCTAATAAGCACATACTTTTATAGTGCAATAATTTCGTCCATGGGAGAGTACCTGTCCTAAGTGAGTTAAACAGGGCAAAGCATTTTATTTTGTTATTTGCTTTGGAGGAGCTAAATTTTCATCCTTAAGAATTATCTATCCCTGCCATTTTATTCATTACCTGAAGTCATAATTTTCTGTTTGACATCTCTTAATTGGTTTTGGAAATAAGTATGTCACAGATGGAGACATTTATGACTTAAGCTCTAAAGCAAGAATAAGACAAGTGGAATTCTGAGTCACATAGACTAGTAAATGGCCTCTGGTTCCACTGTCTTTCAAAATAAATGAAACAGCCACTGCTCGTGATGAAAGTTGATGTGTTTAACCTCGTATTTTATTTACCAGTAGCATATAATCTTTGAAAATGTTAAATTGGCCCTTTTTTTTAAAGCCTAGAATCTGTTGTGAATTGAACAATATTGTAACAAATCAGGCTAAAGAGGATTATTGATAAGTTGTAGAATATAGACTCAAATAAATCTGACAGTGAATTTTAAGACCTAATCTTATAACTCACAAACATGTTTTAATTGTAGTGCCCTATGCAAGACATGAATATTGGTTAACAGCTTTAGTTTGCCATAAGTTCTGTTCCATTTTATGTAGTCTTTGCTATCTGTAAGACTAAAAAGTGAATTAAAGTGAACTATTGACCCATTCTCAACACCACTGTAAGTAAATATTGAATGTTATGAATTCTGTTGTTCAGTGAGTTGCACACCACAGTTTTTTATTACTGTTTAAAATAAATGTACATCTTCAACTATTTTCATCAGTGACTTTAATTAATGGTATGTGTTCCCTAATCTCATAGTCTAGAAAAGTCATCCCTGGCTTTTTTTAATTGTATACTGTCAAAAATTTTAAACTGGTACTACCAAAATCTGGGTATTATGCATGGATATGTATGTTAATGTATTGTATATTTAAAAACATGTAAAAGTTTCAAAGAATGAGGTAAAAATGAAAATAAAAGTTTAGAGGGTTTTTTTCCCTCCTGCACTCCAGTGGATTTTCTTATGCTTTACTCTGGCTATCACTGAGTTAAACCCTTTAGAATATTTTTTCCTTCTTATTGAGCTATGTTGTCTGTGCTTATTTCCAGTAACGGTGTGTATTATCAATTTTTAAACAAGTAATGCTTTACATTGTTTCAAGTTGCTTTCAGTGTATCTTTGTGGCAGTTTTTCTTAGTTGCTTAGAATGAAACCACTCATCAGGCCTTTAAACACAACTGAAATAAAGTAAATGTATGTCTGAGCAGGAGAAAGAAAATTTGATGTGGCTGTACATAAATTTCTTATTTAAGAAATGTACTTTTCATAGAAACAGTTTTCAAATAATGCTAAAGCATGATTTGTTTTGTTTTTTTTGTTTTTTGGTTTTTGTTTTTTGGTTTTTTTGGTGGTGTTAGTTGGGGAATTGCCCTTACTTTTACTTTTGCCTACTTCTATGTCTTTACTAGGGTCATTAACCCTGCTGCTCAGTATAGCCACTTTGCAGATGTAGAAACTGAGGCTCTGGAAGATAACTTGTGAACTTAGATTTGAACCAGTTTGTTCCAAATCAAAAACAAAATTCATTTCTACTTTGATGTCTCAGTGTTGAAGCATTCTATTCTGGAAGGTTAATATTTTAGGTTAAGTTCTTCCCTAATCATCGGAGTTGGGATACTCTATTTGTAGTGTTGCATAATTTAGAATGTCACTGTCCATACTGGTTTACTTAATAGACTTTTGGTTTCTTTATTGTATAGAAGACACAGTTACTGTAGTATAGTTCCAATTTGTCTAAAAATTCACTGTCATTCACAATTCAGAAAGTTAATTATTTATATATATTAGCTTTAAAAAACAGATATTATGACTTCCTAGCATTTAGATTTTTAAATTTAGTTTATAATAGTTTCTATTAGCTCTGGGACCATTGGAAAAGGTTCAGTTACTATAATTGTTATACAAAGGGTGGGGAATCTACTGCCTTTTTTCCCTGCCATAATATTCAGCTAATGAACCTTTCTGACTCACTAGGGAGGAAATGGGAAATAAAGTGGTAATTTAAGGATGTATTTTCTACCTCCTGATTACCAACAACCTAAAAATGATCTCGGGAAACATGTTATTCTTATTCTTACTCTATTAGAAATTTTGCCCAGAAAAATTTCTAAACAGTGTTTATGGGTGGTGGTTCTCCATCTTAATTATCGAAACAAACTAGCATTAATTCTAAGGTGATAATAATTTATTTAGTTTTGAATATTTTTTGATGTTTGTACAAATTGAACAGTTAAAGCCAGGCTTGGTGGCATACTCCTGTAATCCCAGCACATGGGAGGCCAAGGCAGGAGGATCACCATAGTTTGAGCTCAATCTGGACTATACATAGCAAGTTCAAGACCAGCCTGAACTACATAGTGAGACCCTGTCTCAAAAAAAACAAAACCATCCCACAAAAAAATTTATTAAAGATTTAAATACTTTTGCCATTAACTGAATCCAAAAAAAAAAGTTTTAGAATGCATGTTGTTTTGTATTGTCCTTGGGGCTGGAGGGATGTTTAGTTTGCTTGTTTTTGAGGCTTTGAAGTGGGATCTCACTTTGTTGCCCAGTTCTGGGCTCCAGATGATTCTGCCATCTCAGAGTCCTCCCGTCTTCCAGTGGCTGGGACAT